CTTACTAGTAGTAACAATGTTTGCTAGTTGTAGCTTCCTTGCTCCGAGTCTGTCCTCGCTCGTCGCTCCTCGGTCACTGCCGGCGCGGACAGCAAGGTTTCCTCCACCTCACCGAGTTCCACTCGTTGCCCTCGCAGCTTCACCTGACCGAGGAACTGAGGAAAACAGAACGATTTTTTTTTTCATGCCAGGAACGCCTTTTTCATGAAACACTTCGATACGATCTTCGATATCTTTAGCTCTGTTCCGAACAGCTCAGCCGTCAAACTGCTTCTAACATGATGCTTCAGCACATGCATTGAGATGTTGTGAAAACTCCTTTCCAGTGACCTGGGCTTACTCAGCTCAATTGCCGACCAAATTTGAACAAACGGGTTTCATTCATTGGCCCGTGCTGCTGCGGGTGCTGATTTCTGCCGCTTCTTTTCTCCCATGTACCTTTCTCCCGGTGTTCTTCTTTCCATTTCCCGACTTCAGGTGTCTTTGCCTTGGAGGCCATCGCTCTTAGGTTGGAGGCCATCGCTATTAGGTTCTTTGAGGTGTCCTTTAACTGTCCTTTATATTTATCCTTCCTTGACATGTTTCTTGTTGGTCGAGAAGAGCCATGCAAAGCCTGTACCTGTCATATTCTGACAATGCGAAATCATGACCAGACCTTCTCCAGAGTCCACCGAAGCCCTCATATAGTCGACTCTGGGCCTCTGTTGCATTCGGCTCTTCATATCGTTCCTCCTCTTTGGACGTTGGTAGCAGCGGCACGCATGTCACAGGAGGAAAAGGTGGAAGATTGTGATTTATTTGTCTTTTAGTAAGTTTAGACAAGTCCACGCACATTGGCACGAATCACTCCAGGAGAAGATTCCTCTTTCTTCGGGATTGAGGTGAGCAAGAAGTTGAAGGTGAAAAAGAGATCAAAAGCGACAGCAGTGGCAGCACCGCTGCCGTCAGCCAATGTCCCAAGCAGTGCTGAAGAAAAAAGGATGGCGAGGGAAGAGATAGAAGAGAGGCAGGGTCAAAGGAGGAGGAAGCCAGAAGCTATAGAAGATGCAGCGTTGAAGGGCGCCAAACACAGACAGGGCATGCTGAAGAAGCATCGACACACGTTGGGCGAAGCAGGGTTGAACGTTAACAAAACCAAGCAACCAAGTCACACCGAAAGGCAGCCCGCAAATACCGCAAATGAAGCAACCCGCTACAACCGAAGCCACACCCGAAGGCGAACAGCTAGAGACCGGATAAACCCTACAAGCCAAAGCACCCTTCAAAGGAGTGAGAAGTGCCTCGCGACTAGTAACAAGTGCCTTACTAGTAGTAACAATAAGAATTTAATTAGAATTGTAATTACTAGCTTTTTTACTAATAGCTTTTTTGTAACAAAAAAGCACTTGTTACTACTAGCGATGCACTTGTAATTACCTTCCAAGGAGTGAGAACCCCTCACAGGTCCACGCAGCGCAACATGGTTGAGCAGATTTCCTGGTTGCTCCAATAAGGTGTTGCATGCTGCATGCTCATTTCCGAGTGCTATTAGGTGGGAGGCCATCGTTAGTCAGATGGAGGCCATCGCTAGTTAGCTTGGAGGCCCATTGCTATTAGGAGCAAGGACACTACTAGGGGCTCCTGGCCTTACTACTAGGAGCAAAGGGCATCGCTACTAGGAGCAAGGACGCTACTAGGTTGGAGGCCAATTGTGGTCAGAGTCGGATAATCTCATACTTTCTTGAACCCCCCCGTCACCCGCTGCCTGGTTGTCAAGTCGCCCGACAAACTCCAGGAGGTCATCCTGAAAAACGATGAAAGAATGCTTTTAACGAGTGAGGTTAACAGGAGGGTCATGGCCTCCAACCTACTAGTGATGGCCTCCAACCTAAGAGCGATGGCCTCCAACCAACCTAAGGCTGAGTTGCCACTTTTTAGTGAAATTCGTAGCATGGGGCAATAACCTGGTTGCAAGTGACTTCGAGCAAATTAGCTGAAAGTGAAAGCGCTTTGTAGGGCAACCAAACTGCTGCCCATCCAGCCTGGCAATAGCGACCAACGTCACCCGTAAGATACCTCGCAAAAAAGAAATATTACAAATGATCTACACAAGCGGATACAAAAAACGACTGTATTGTAGTTTTCAATTTATTTGCATATCAAATCCTTTTTGCAAGGTTCAACGCTCCTATTTTCGAGCATAAAAGCGGCTGTCGAGTGTACACTTCTCGTTTTGTGCGTGTCATCCTTTGCGGACCAGCACTCCTCCCTGGTCGTGCGTTTAGCATCTGACCAGCATTCGAAAATCGAGCCGTAGGCTCAAACCGCTTCAACCGCCACACACTTTACATTGGCGGATTTCAGTCATCGGTCCCGTGACCGCATTGCACCGAGCATCGGTGTGGAAGTTGCCGAGCTGGTCCTCATAGACGAAGTTCGTCTCTCGAAGACTTCTCTGGCCTCTGGTGGCCCTTTGACAGGCTCCACACACCGGTTGTTCATGAACTCGGTTGGCCTTGCTCAATCCCCTGCAGCTCCGCTGTCTATGGAAGCACTTGCTGGACTCCGCGAACCAGATCTTCCACGTTGGCTCATTGGGGAATCGCCTCCTCCTCCCAGTCAGGGTGATCTCCAAATGATGCCCTCCAGGTAGGTCAGCTTGATTCGGCGGCTCCTCCTGTGGCTCATTCTGTGCGGGATCCGGTCTCCCTTGATGTCCAACTTGGATGCCTCCACCCATCCTGGTACCCCTTGGTGATGAGGATGAAGCACTCTGCCCTTCATGGTTCATTTGCTGCCATTCCCCATCACGTTGACGTGGTTCTTGATCTCTTCCTCCTTGAGGTCTGGTAGAAGCCCTTGTCCCGGAAGAAGATTGACCAGCCAAGCGAGAGACCCTCACTCTACGCGTCGCCGGATCGTCCTCCACCCGGTTCCAATGCAAGCGGCATTTTTGAATGACCTTCATGAGCACCATTCCCAGCAACATCATCATGACGCTGAGAAGGTACAAGATCTGGTCACCCTCGACATTCTCATCGGCATTCTTGGTGACATTCTCCGCCATAGCTCCATGCACCTCTTTCAATGCCGACAGCACCACAACAAGCCTCATGGCCTTCTCCAAGTGGTACTTCGCAACCAACTTCATAGCCCTCGGTGCGACAATGCCCTTGTCCTCCTCATGCACTTCGTCCACTGAGTCGGGCTGCCATGACATTCCCATCCGTTGCCTCAGCTCGTTGACCCGGGCCACTGGCAACGACTTGGTGCCGATGTCCGCGATGAGCTCTCTTCCAGGCTGGTACTTCAGCTCCCATTGACCAGACTGGATCCTCCATTTGAGGTGGGCGGCCCGGACCTTCAAGTGTCTTGTACGCCACGCTCCAGTTGCACAACTTGCTATTGAAACTGCAGCTGTGTTGTCGCACTTGAGGAACTTCGGGACGTCCTTCGCCATCTCATCAACCAGACATGCGATGCTGTCTCCCACGACCACAGCTTCGATGACCTCTATGAGCTCTGCCTCCGCGGTTGAGAGGGCGGGGAACGGCTGCTTGCAGCTCTTCCATGCCACCGGTGCTCCGGCCACCGTTGTGATCACGCAGCCATGGCTATGAGCACCTCCTGGAGCGAAAGAGGCATCACTCACTGACTCCAAGATGAAGTTGGCGTCTCTCCTGTACCACAAGCCCAGGCCCTGCGTGGCATTCAAGTGCCTGATCAGCTGGTATGCGGTTTGGATCGCCCATTTTGGGGCCCGGCTCGTCGCTGAGCAGATTCGGCTGACCGTGTAGGCAATGTCCGGCCTCGTCTTCGTTGCCAGCCACAAAAGTTCTCCTCCGAGTTGTTGTGCCTCTCGGACCTGCAAGGGCGTGCGATCCAGCTCATCCTCGGGTTCCTGGGATTCCTTCATCATCTGAGCGCTGCAAAGGTCCTCCATGCCATGTCGCCGAACCACTTCCCTCAAGTAGGAACATTGATTGGCAAAGAAGTCTCCTTGTTCAGTTCGACTCAACTCCATTCCACAGTACCGAACTGGTTCACGATCTCCCACCCACGTAGGTTCGGACGTCTCCCAGGTCCTTCGAAAGCTCTGGAGCCCTGCCCTCACAATCTCTTCGGTGCCGAAGAGCATCACATCATCCACGTACACCAAGGCGAGTCCCTCAACCTGATCTCCATCTCCGGCATCCTTCCTGCGCACCAGCCACAAGTTCTCCTCCGCGAAACTCTGCTGGTACTCATAGGTGATGGAGTTCACCTGAAAGGACATCTGGCTGATCTCGATGTCCCTGTAGTCCCCCCCAGAGCTTCGGAGACTCACGCAAGCCATACAGGGCCTTCTCCACCAACCACATTTCCCCCTCCTTCACTAATCCCAGCCGAATGAGGATCTTCGGAGGAAGCGTGAGCACCAGTCGTTTCCTCTTCGTGAGGTCCTTCTCCTGCTGCTCTTCCATGGCCATCTCTTCTTGACCATCGCGACCTCCTCCAGCTTCTTCATGATCCTCTTGGGGTCGACCATGGGCGTCTTCCAAGGCAAGGTTCTTTTTCCGGCTGCTCTCCTGAAGTGTTCGTAGAGGTGCGTTCAAGAAAGCAGTCTTAATGTCCAGGCTAGCCGCCTGCCAGCCTCGCGAAGCGGCCAGTGCCAATGAGGTCCTCAAGCATGTAGTATCCGCCCCACCTGCATAGAGCTGAGCTGCCTCCGAACGATCTCCAGGACCTCTTCCAGCTCCCTTCAGGTAGTTCCCGCACACCACCAGGCGGCATTTCCTTCGTCCGTCAGGGGCCTTCACCGCATGGATGGCCTTCCCTGGAACCACCTCCACCTTGTCTCCATGCTCTCTCTGGTAGTAGGCCACTTCTGCGGGAGTCAGTCGCCGAATCGCCTTCTTGCCCTCCAAGGACTGGATCTCCTTCATAATGGCCTCCAGCCACAGCTCCCGGTCTTTGTACACCTCATCGTTGGGCACGATCCGGGTTTGGAGAATCTCGTCTTCCAAGAGTCGTTGGGTTGATGCCACCTGTTCTTGTCGTAGAGCAACCAGACCTCGGCTCAACGGAGGAACTTCTCTTGGAGCAGCTCCCAACAAGTGACCCTCCTCCTCATAGACGGCCTGAAAGAGCATTCGACGATCCTCCTCCCTCTGTAGGTCTTCTTCTCCCCGTATGCATGCCAGTGGTGTCTTCTCTCTCAACCTCCAGCGAAGCCGTACAGGGTCGTCTTGGATATGGACCTCCTCCATGACCAAGTCTCGTTCGTCAGGCTTAGGCTCTTTGACATCCTTTATCAAGTAGCTCACTACCTTGACCTTCTCCTTGTCCGTGAGGACCGCGTGCCCTTTGGACACTTGCGGTGTAGGTGTCAGGTAGGTCACCATCTCGGATGTCGCTTCAAAAGGTCCTCCTCGCTCCCAAGCTCGCTTTCTCACCGTGATGAGCTGCCCAAAGCGTGGAAGCGTCTCCTTGATGTTCTCCCTTCTCCTTCTTTCCAGCTCCGTGACATGTCTCGCCGCTGCCGGCCACCACTTCGTGGGCATGCCCGAAGCATGTAGAAGTCGACGGACCCTTTGCTTGATCGACGCAATCATGGCCTCAGCACGACCGTTTGATTGGTGTTCATCCGGAGGACTGAAGGTTCTAGCCAGCCCCCTCTCCAAGCACCACCTCTTGAACGGGTTGTTGTCGAACTCCCGGCCTGCATCGGTATGGATTCTAGCCACAGGGTAGCCGTGGCGTCTCAGCATTCCAAATAGTTCCTGTGTTCCAGCAAGGACTTCTGCTGCGCTTTTCGAGGTCAGTGGTAGGCAAATGGACATTGTGGTCATCTTGTAGACCTTCTGGTGCTCTTCAACTTCCTCTGGAGTCTTTGGAGGTGGTACCGATGGTGGTTCTGGTTGACTGGGTCCTGGATCAGGCGGCGGCTCTAACTGATCACCGTCACCTTCGCCCTGCCGTTCATCCTCCTCCGGCTCACCCATCTCCAGATCTTCGCCCTCATCTGACGTAGGTCGATAGGACATCTCCTCGCCATGAGCTTCCAGGTCCTGAGCCAGGTCATACTCCACTTCCCGAAGAGCCTCCTCTTCCTCGAGTGTAGGCCAGTCCTTGTCTGGGATCACCTCCAGCTGTTCAACCTCGTCCCATGGTGCCTCCTCCATGACCGGCCACGTGTATGCTCCAACCAGGAGGTACTTCTTGAGGTCGCCGTCAATGTCATGGCCGAGCACAAATGGTCCAGTCAGATCCAGCGACAGCACACACGGAGCCGCTATCCCTTGAGCTCGATGTGGTCGATCCCTTGCCGCTGCTCTCTGACAGACAGCGCAGTCTCTGCGGAACGGCACGTGTCCCTGTGCCAGGTGCTCCTGCCAAGACAAGGCCTTCATCGTCACCCGCCTCTTCTGGATGTTGACAGTGATGCTTCTTGCAATCTCTCGCATCATTCCGGGGGGCCCATCTCGCCAGCTCGGAGCTCGACACCTCATGCTTGGTCTTCAAGAAGGCCTTGGGCGGGCCCCGATCCTCGGGAACCATGAACTCCATGTTCAATGCCAGTGAGGTAGGTTTCACCGCCATACCACCATAGGCACCCTGGTTGAAGGTCACCATGTCCAGGTTGAGATGCTCTTTCATTACCCTCCACTCTTCGGTTCTCCAGAAGGATGCCACTTCCGGCATGTGCTGAGGCGCTGCAGGCTGCTCCATCAAGAACCTGACCGTTGGCAGCAACGCGGAATTCTTCTCCTGGGACAATCGTGCATCTCGACCCAGCTTTGCCACCACGTAGAGCGTCACCATACGCAACAGCAGCACATCGTCCAAATGGCACTTTGCCCTCTCCACTTCATCCAACTCGTCCAAGCCCCAGGGTCTTCCCAACGATCTCGATGGCCCTGGTAGTCCCGTGACCGGATGATGTCGTAGTTCACTGCGGGTCCTGCAGTTGGGTCCACCGATCACCGCATCAATCCAGCCCAACATCGCCATCCTTAGCAGTGCTGCGTACATTGCATCGTCCTTTGACATGTCATGACTTTGGTTTCGAAGGATATCCACCTCCAACAATCTCGTAGTGTCTCCGCCAGCCTCCTTGAGAGCCCTTGTGAGATCGTAGCCCTCATTCTTCCCAGCGTAGAGATGAACCACCACACCCTCATTTTTCCAGCGCTTGCGGATGCGTCGATTGACTCCAAGGACCTCAAGATTCCTCGCTGGAGAGTCCACCAGGCGATCCTTGATTCGGATCGGGACCTTGTCGAAGATCGGACAATCTGCCACCACCCGGTCCAGCCAGTCGACGTCATTGTGAGCCTCCCCAAATCGGTAGCACCTCAACGCCGTTCTCGACCGAGATTCCTCCAGCTCCCTGATGAGGTCCAACGCAACATCATGGTCCATTTGAGGACATCCCGCTTCAACTCTGAGGTCAATGTTGCCCTTGACTGGGTGCTCCAAAGTGCAAGCTTCCCCCATCCACTCGATTCGACACCCCAAGTCGCGAACAAGCCTTCCGGCCGGGACGATCGGCTCCACGTTCTCACTGTTGTGGACCAGCGTCTCCCCTTCTGTCATTCGGATGTCTTGCGCTCCTCCGGCAGCCAACGTCACCCTCACCTGGCGATATCTCTGAAGGTCTTCTCCTCGGAGCTTGGGCCTCAGAGCGTGCGTTGCCCCAGAATCCAGAAGTCCCTCTCGACCTTGTTGGACTCGAGCTATCTTGACTGCCCGTAGCTCTGGGCCACCTTTCTCCCATGCTCGATTCAGCTTCTTCAACGTCGCACCAAGGTCCGTTGCACGATCTTGCCCTTCTTCTTCGAGGTTCATGCCCTTGAGCAACTTGTGCGCCTCATCAAGCACATTCTTGATTGGGTCTGCAGTTCTTGTCGCTGCATCCGATGCCGCCTCCGAAGTCACCGACTGTGAGGACGCTGCTTGAGGAGAAATTGAAGCCCCCGACTCGCTCCGTGAGGTCCCATTTCCACCACCACCAGTTTTGTCCAGCAGCTTCTGAAGCTTCGGTTTCTGGCCAGATGGAGGTCCTTCTCCCTTCTTTGCCGTCTCTTTCCTCGGACAGTCTCGAGCCAGGTGTTGTGTGGCCCCGCACGTAAAGCACCTTCTCTCCTGGTTCTGCTTGTCGCCAGTCTCCAGTTGATGCGCCCATTTGCACGACTGCCCTCTTCGACATCCAGACTCGGTGAGGAAATATCGACAAGGACCCTTCGCCGATGTCGTTGGCGAGTCCCCCTTCTTCTCTCGATCTTCCCCTTGTAGTGCCTTTACTGCCAATGGTCCACCTCCCTGATTTCCAGGTCTCGTAGTGCTCGAAGACGGTCGGACTCGGTGCATGAGTTGTTCAAGTTCAGCGAGTAAATGCTCAGCATACGTCCGAACAGTCTCCTCATTGGGGATGGTATCAAGCTGCAAGGTGTTCTTGACCAAGGCACATCTGAATTGCAGATCCGGTTGTTGAGTGAGGATCCGCTTGCTGAGTTTGTTGATGCCCTTCATGAGGATGATCGCATCAGGGAGATTCAATCCAATGTCGGTGGCCCTCCTGAGCCAGCGCATCCAGCGTCGGAGCCCCATGCAGGCTTCGCTTGGCGACCCTGCTTCTGGCGGATCTTCAAGTTGCCGCAGGATGATGGTGCGCTCATGAGCACCACCTGGTTGATAGAGGACCATGAGTTTGCTCACCAGCCCCAGCGGTGACAAAGTCCTCGTTGCTACCAGTTCCTCCTTCACTGATGTGGGAACTGAAGAAAGCAGCATGCTGATGGCCCTCTTTTCCACTCGAGCCCACTTCGGCTTTTGCAACTCAGCAGACGGCTCGATCTTGGATGATGCCCGCTGAATTGGACGAAGCTTGATGTACTGTTTGTACCAAGCCCTTGCTTCGCTCACCACCAACTCCCACCACTCGCCTGACGAGTCGCTAAGGTCTGTCATAGCCGGTTCCACCATAGTGAGCCAGTCAGCAAGGTCGATGGGAGCCGTATCGGATGGCTCTGCCAGGACTGGGAGTGTGGCCGTCCCCGGCTTGACCGACTCCGGTCCTTCTTGCTTCTTGTCCTTGTCGACCAGGTAGGTGATCAGCATAGACATCGCATCAGCCATGCCACCACCGTGCTCTCTTGATGGTTCCTCCCGAACATTTGCCGTTGAAGATCGACCAGGCTGCTCGGCTGTGGCTTTCTTCTTTGGCTGACCCACACCTTTCCCGGTCCCTTGTCTCCCTTCCGGTTCGAAGCCCTTCGCCCGAGATGCCACCAAGCCCTCAGGTTGACCTCCTCCCTGACGTGCAGTTCTCGGACCTTGAGATCTCGACCTCTCTCGTTGTCCTTGCCCCCGACCACCTCGCTTTGCTGGCGCCGGAGTGACCGTCCCCATCAAGGATTGGAGCTGCTCGAACTGTTGCATGGGAGTCAACTCATACAGCCGGCGTCTTTCCACCTCCAAATCTGTCTCTCTCGGAGGCTCGTCGACCGTCAATTCCAGCTGACGATTCACAGGCTCATCGCTTTCTGGCGTTCTGAAAGCCTGCTGCTCCAGCTCACGTTGTAGATCATGGACCTTGGCTTCCAGGCTAGCCCTCTGGTACTTCATGGCGTCCATGAGCTCTGCTTGCTGAATCTGCAGTTGTTGATTCTCCTGCTTCAGCATTGCCAACATGGTCATCATCTCCTGTGGATTTGGCGGACCAGGGCCATAGGGATGCAGCTGAACTTGCCATCCTCCTTGATGCGGCATAGGTCCCCTCCTCTCTTCATGGGGCATGATGTACCCAGGTGGGCCAGTTTGTCCAAAGCCTCTCGGAACATGCAGACCTCTTCCTCCAGGCCCGTTCCCTTGGATCTGAACCACCGATTGCTCTCTAGGTTGGGGAGGTTGTCGCCCATCGCTGTCACTTTCAGGCTCGTGTACTTCAGGTACCCGTGGTTCTCTTGGTCGTCCACGTCGCTGGTCATCTGGTACATGGTCGCCCACCAGTGCCGGTGATGGTGTCCCCGTCGTCGTGCTCGTCTGTGGAAGCACTCCCACTGAACCTTCTTCTTTCGGCAGGAACGTGGGTCTCTCCTTTTGCACCTCCTCTGGCGACCTGTTCCCCATACCAGGCTGCCAGATGCTCTGCCTCGGGACTTGAGCATATAGGTGAGGAGCTTGGCTCTGCACTTCATGAAGTCCCTTCAGCTGTTCCGGCGTGAAGAGTGGGGTCAACGGTGTCAAGGTTGTAGGCGGTCCTTTCGGACCTTCAAGGGTCTCTTCCCCTTGCTCTTCGCCATCCTCCAAGGCCAGCTGACCCTCCTCTAGCGGCTGCTCTTGTAGTTGAAGGCCTCCCTGATCGGCTGGGTCCTCTTCTTCATCCCCATCGCCAGGCTGCCTTCGTCTCCGACGAGCCACCATGGACATTGCTTGCAAGTGCGCAGGGCTGCCCGTCCTTGCCCACGGGTCTTACACCTTTCACCTTGGGCTCATAACCTGCAAGGTTCAACGCTCCTATTTTCGAGCATAAAAGCGGCTGTCGAGTGTACACTTCTCGTTTTGTGCGTGTCATCCTTTGCGGACCAGCACTTTTAATTCCAATTTTTCAATTCTCAACTTAGACTTATTCACTTCGGTTCATGGTGGCGTCGACGCGTCGACGTGTTCGGTGAAACCGACGAATTGGACGGTTTCTGCACATTCGGTTCTGCACAAATGGACAGTTTGCATATGTTTTTCTCTGTTGACCCTTTTTACATGAGACTCTTCATTAAAAAGTAACACCTCTTCCGTTGTTAACCAAAGTGTTGTTAAAGAGTATAGGTTACGGTTAAGTGATACTACTGGGTCTGACCGCAAGTGAAACTAATAGCGCAAACTTACCGATAAATGTGTTCAACAATGTTCTCACAACTGATGACGAGGTGTGTTTTTTCCACCGCTTGAAGAATAGATAAGAATAGTATGCAAAACAACCGTAATGCGTCATGTGCCTCAGCTCTGTGGCACACCTCCTAAATCTGCCTTGAACCATCTTGAAACCAAAACACCCCTACTATGCAATACAAGCACGGGAAATACTAGCAAACTAGATTCTTTCTTACGAAAATGCATCAACATCGCAAATAGCGCAGTGGGTGCAATCTGGAGCCACACTGAGGGAAAACATCTCGGATTGCCTCAACAAGCGTGCTTGTCCATGTCCTGCCTTCAGCCTTTGGACTGATTAGACTGTTCTCCAACTTGCAAATGTGATAGATTGTTCTCCAACACTCTCTGAGCCAAGTCGAAACATTTAGCGAAGTCACGAACCACAACCCGTTTCCAGCCTGGGGCGTCTGGATGAACTTGGCTTTGGTCTCTTCTGGCAAATGCAAGTATCCACTTGCCAGGCCCTAGCACCACGAACGCCGACATACGCCCACCATAGCACGTCCCCCTATGTCATCGTGCAAGCCCATCCAGGAGCCCCTAGTAGCGTTCATGCTCCTAGTAGTAAGGCCAGGAGCCCTAGTAGCGTCCTTTGCTCGTAGTAGCGATGCCAGGAACCCCTGGTAGTTTCTTGTTCCTAGTGGAGGCCAGGAGCCCCTAGTAGCTTCTTGTTCCTAGTGGTAAGGCCAGGAGCCCCTAGTAGCTTCTTGTTCCTAGTGGTAAGGCCAGGAGCCCCTAGTAGTTTCTTGTTCCTAGTGGCAAGGCCAGGAGCCCCTAGTAGCTGCTTGTTCCAAGTGGTAAGGCCAGGAGCCCCTAGTAGTTTCTTGTTCCTAGTGGTAAGGTCAGGAGCCCCTAGTAGCTTCTTGTTCCCTGTGGTAAGGCCAGGAGAACCGGTAGTAGCTTCTTGTTCCTAGTGGTAAGGCCAGGGGCCCCTAGTAGCTTCTTGTTCCGAGTGGTATGGCCTACTAGGTTCTTGTTCCTAGTGGCAAGGCCAGGAGCCCCTAGTAGCTTCTTGTTCCTAGTGGTAAGGCCAGG